TAGTGTTGCTAGAAGCTCTTACTTTCATCTACGTAGAATAAAAAAACTTTTGCCTTTTCTTGATGATCCTACTCTTCTCCTTCTTGTTACTTCGTTAGTCTTATCTAGGATTGATTATTGTAACTCGCTCTACTATGGTCTTCCTGACTCTATACTCTATCCTTTAAGTAAAGCTTTTAACTCTGCTGCTCGTCTAGTTGCTCGTGCCCCTTTCTTTTCTCATATATCTCCATATCTTGTTCTCTTGCACTGGCTACCTATAAAATATAGAATAATTTTTAAAATTTGCACGTTCATGTATAAGTCTCAATCTAAATTATTTCCTAAGTACTTATCAGATATATTAATTGAACCTAAACGCCCCGGTTTACGATCGTCTTCTTCTTCTCGCTTTTTCTTAACTCGTGTTAAACACTCTTTTGCCAAATCTGCTTTTGCTTTTTCTGGTCCTTTTCTCTGGAACTCTCTGCCTACTTCTCTAACTATTTCTCCATCGCTTGCGAAGTTCAGAGCGGATCTCAAGACCCATCTGTTTTCAAAATTCATTGAGGAGCGCTGTTGAACATCGCGGAAATAGCGCTTTATAAGCTAATTGATTGATTGATTGATTGATTTATTATTCTTTAAAAAATAAGAATCTGGCAGACGCAGAAACTGTTACAGCATGCAAGGCATTAGTATAAAATGGTAACGAAAAAAATAAATGAATAAATAAAAAAAACGGAGAAAAAATGTTTAGACATGAAAAGTATTGAAAATAATTTTTTTTTAAATAAAATAAAGTAATGGTATAAAAAGGCAAATTAATAATGTAATTTATTGATGGACTAGAATACTAGATAATAACTTAGTGAGTTAGTGAGGTTATCGATAAGTAAAAAGAAAACTAGATTGAGTAAATGATAAAGTTTTATTGAGTTTTAATATGTTTGAGGTGTCTTGTGATGAAGGTCTTTTCCTGATATGTTGATTGAGTAGTGACTTGATAGTTATGCTTGCGTCGACGAAGGTTGTGAGTAGTAGTTTTAATTGGTTGTAGTAGAGGATGGATGACGTGGTTGTTGTTATTTTCTACTTTCTTGAATCGAATGTGTTGAATATTTGAGTGACGGTAGGATATCATGCAGGTAGATAGTTGAGGCGAATTAATTTTTTGATGAGATATTGTAGTTGTTGAAGTTATTGTTGTGCAGCGAAACTAAACCAGAAGGGTGCTGCATATTTGATGTGTGAGATTATGAGTGATTCAGTGATGTCGAATAATTTGATGCCTCTGAGATCATATGAGCGAAGTGTTTTGAGTGTGTGAAATGTTTGAAAACCCTTTGTGATGATGTGATTTATATGAGGTGCTATATTAAGTGTGGAGGTGAATGTGATGCCTAATATTTTTAATTGACTTGTGCGAGTGATTGATGGGTGTTTCAGGAGGTAATGTTATTTTCTTACGGCTATTGTGGATGATGAGTTCGAATAATTTATTGAGGTTAAGTAACAATAGATTGCACCGTTTTGACCATGTAGTTAATGAGTCGAGTTCTGACTGGATGGTGTTTGTGTTATATATGATGGGATGATAAGATAGGTGTCGACAGCGTATTTGATGATTTGATTAAAACTAGGAAGAGTTTTGAGAGTAGAAGCATTGATAATAAAGGTAGATGGTCCAAGGACAGAACCTTGAACTACGCTAGAATTAATAGGTAGAGTAGATGAAAGAGTAGAGCTAAAGAAAGTAGAATGATTCTTATTAGAAAGAAAATTTATTATATTATGCAAAAGTTGTCTGGTAGATGAAGAGAGTCTAACTTATTTGAAAGTGAGAAGTGATTGAGAGTGTCAAAAGCTTTAGAAAAGTCAAGAGCAATAAGGTGAACATAATAATTATTTTTAAGAAAAGATGTTATTATAGAAGAAATATGATGGCGGATATAGATGAACCTGTAGGGGGAAAAGCAAACTGGTCTTGTAATAGTGGTTTGATGAATGGATGATTGAAACATGGATAGATGAATGACCTAACGATGAATTTTTCTAGAATTCGTGAAAGTATGAGAATGATAGATATTGGGTAATCTATTGGTGATATGGGTGTTTTGTTTTAGGAAGTGGATGAATTGTGCTGGATTTCTATTAGGATGGGATGAATGAATGCATTGAGCAGTCATTGTCGAGCTAACTTACGGTGCTAGAGATGAATGGTGCGATGTGGATAGAATGTTGATAGGATAATGTGGATAGAATAATATTGATAAAATGTAGAAAGTATGTGGATAGAATAAAACAAAGAACTAATTTCGTTCGTTGACAACAACAACAACAGATATTTATAAATGAATGACATGCACATGTAAACAAATGAGTGAGATTTTTAATGGGGAAGGCTATTTAATGTCGCCGTAATTTTTACTGATGTCCACATTTACGCTGAATATATTAAAGATTACAAATATTTGGTCGTAACGACGATTTGCTAATTTAAATTTAATTAAATTAAGAAGAGAGTAAGAATTTGATTTCATATTAAATTAAAAACAAAATTAATTAAAATTTTACAATTATTATATTAATTTTATAATCTACAAGTAAAATTTTCATCTACTAATTTATATTTTATTAAAGATTTAAATCAATAATATTATTTATTATCAATTTATTAGTTGAGAAAAAACTGAAAGTTACTTACAAACTTACTAGTATCTAATTCCTAATGCTAATCTATTGATTTTCTATTATTAATTAATCTGTATTGTTTTTTTATATTCGTTCAAAATTTAATTAATTAAAAATTAAATCAAACTTTAATTGGTTTGTGAAGCCTTGCCAGCAAGTTTTCTTAATTTAACATTTAAAAAAGCCAAAGTGAATAGGAAAGTATTTTATTATTTAATTAACCTTTATAAACCTTTTAAATTTAAAGTTTTACCTTTACTTTTTTATTAGAAAATATTTGTAAATGAAAGAATATTGTTAATTAGATCAAAATTTTGCTGTGGTAGTTACTAATTAAATTATAATAATTATATCAGTAATTAATATTCATATAATAGTAATGTAGTCAGTAGTGGCAATTTAAGATTGCTTTATTAATTTCTTATGCCTATATTGTACTAACTTATTAATAATGCAATTATTTATTGAGTTACTAAGACAAAAAGTACTGCAGATATTAAGAAATGATATTAGTTAGTGAGATACCACACTATGTTGTGAAATGAATGGTGCTTGTTACTAAAATGAAAATCCAGTAGATTTAATGTCTGGCGAACTTGCTTCTTCAATGATGATCTGTTTGTTAGAATGTTTAAATGTGTAAACAGGATGAAAATAACAAGGATGTACTCTTTTTATCATCACTTCACAACCAACTTCACAATCAACGTTGAAATTAATCACATGTATGAGTCTTTCTAATGAATTTAGCTTCATGTTCAGTTTTGAGAAACGAGACAAAATCATTATTCTTTTAATTTAAACAACCGCAATAAACTTCCAACATTTTTGTGTATGGCTACCTGGTTGACAGTTACAGACTGACCTATCAGTTTGACACTGGACTGCATATATCAATGTTAACCAATGGTTATTGTGTTTTGTATCTTTTTTTACATTTCTTTAATATTTTTAGAGGTATCAGCAACAAACACACACCTCATGTAAATATGCATGAATCGATGCATCACACACATCACATCTCATAGGCATAGAATCTCTCTGCATTTGTACCCACTGCCTGCAATAGCAGTGCCATGTCATGCTGTGTGTAATTATATACATGCTATATTTTATTTGGTCTTCGTTCCCAGATAGCTGAATAGTGTTGTTGTTATTAAATTGAATTCTTGAACAAGTAATTAATTTGACTGCTGGTTAATTTTCTGGTCACAAATCAGATATTCTTTCCCATTTTTTAAAATTTTCATTTAGGTCATTTTAACATATAAAGTAGGATTTACGTATTTGATTTTTATGTTCTGATTTTTTCCCTCAAAACGCTATTCTTTTATTAATCATTTCTAGTCTATCTAACAATTTAGCACTTGATAGTAAATCACCAGCTATCATGATTGCTTTCCATTTTATATCTGCGCCATATTTTTTACTTTACAATTTTAAAACCTCAAATGTTTAAAATATAAAGTTAATAAAAATTTGTACGGTTTTAAAATAAGAACGTGATGTAGGTGTAGTATATTATATTTAAACTGCATTTGCACCCACAAACCTTAAATTTGAACAATTTATTTCAGGTAAGTACCATCTATATACAAAGTATCCTCATACAAGGAATGGCAGGTTAGCATGCATTTAAAATCAGTTGTTCTCTGTAAAATTTGTCATCAACTTAAACGCTAAATGTTTCGGCATATGAATTTATGAATTCATCTGCTGCCGATGTTGGTTCACATAATTTATTAATTAAAATTATTGACTTCTGAAAGGTCAACATTGTCTGAATGAAACATTTGTTTAGCTCTGTATGAAATTTATTTAACATTTTGATTGGTGCATGAACAGAACACTTATGTAATTATAATTAAAGAACAAAAGTGTAACTCCAGCGTAGTTGGATTTATTTGCTGCACCTTAGTTCTTGAAGGATGCTGATTCACTTATAGTTTATTAATTTATTATGTTTATTTTAACATATCACCAAATGGTTCATTTGACGTTTCACTAATTCTCGTTTTACAATAAATAATTAAAATTTCTAAAAAGTTTTCAAAATAATGAGGCAATTTTATTTTGTTTGAAATTGTCGTAAGAGGGAGGCGTGGATAAGAAGGACTCAGAAGAGGAGCTGCACAAGGAGGTGGTCGAGCTTGATAGCAAGGAAGTCGTCAAAGAAGTATCGGCTTCAATTTATTTCCATCGTTTTCATCGTTTCTTGAATGTGCACATCGTTAAAGCAAATATCATTAAATACCAAATGGATTAGCATAATTTATTTATTTGACTGTTGAACATTGAAACACCCTCACAGTCTGCCTGCAACAACAACTTCCTGCAATCCATTGCAGCAAGTAATCATGTCTTCTCGTTGTCCTGGTTTCATTAATTCTTCAATTTCTTGTTCATTTAGTTTTAATTTTTGTGGCAACCTCATTTAAATTGTTGACTTTTTGCTAATATTTTAATTGATTTTGTTATATTTGATTCCATAATGTTCCTGTTAAATAATATTTTGGATTTTAGTACTAAATCATTTTAAATATTCCTAGTTTCGTTATTTTATTTTGTAATTTTATTTTTAATCGTCAGATTATTTTTATTTAAATTACGAGATTTGAGACCTGATAAATTTTATTGTGATGTTAGATGCACAAAAAAGTTGAAAATAAAACAAAATATGATAATAAAAAATGTAAGAATTTATGGGCTTGTTCAAGTCGAAGCCTGAAGATCGTTCGTTGGTGTCGGTTGATTTGGATGGCGTCGTCGAGTTCATAAGAAGTGGCAGGTGCAAGAACATCATCAGCATGGCCGGGGCCGGTCTCTCCACGTGTTAGAAGACATTTCTTTCCCAGTTACTTTTTTATCTCTCTGTCTGCTTCACTTTTCACAAATTGTTTTTCATGAAAATTTTCAAGATTGTTCCGTATTTCAAAAGTGAAAGAGTTTTGGTTCATTTAAAGTTATTGAGGTTTTAAGTAGTAATTTTAATCAATAGCGTTGTATTGAAATATTACCATGCTTAGATGGTAGCAAATACCTTAATTGACGAGTTTATACATTTAATCGGCAACAATCTGTGGCGCGGCTATGCGGCAGATAGACCGGTTGGTCTTGCATTGCAGTCACCCAGTTTGAACGCAAGGATGTTTTTACAGACATGTTTTTTTCTTTATCGGTAATCCGCTCTCTGCAACGTCTGCATACGCGTTCGTTGCGTTGTGTGTTTGTCAAATGTTGAGGAAATAAGTTTAACAGTTTTCATACTTCACATTGATGATTGATTGATTGATTGATTGATTGAACCGCCAATTACCATGTTAGCTGCAGGGATTCCAGACTTCCGATCTCCGGGATCAGGCTTGTACGACAACCTGGATGAATACGACCTCCCATACCCTGCCGCCATCTTTGACCTCAGCTACTTCAAGGTCCACTCAATTTAGAATTTTTGTTGGTTTTCATATTTGATATTCAGCTATTTAAATTTAACGCAATGAATTGTGCATTGCAATAGTTGATGTAAATATTTAATTGCAACGATTGCACCTGACATGGTGAGGATGATGATCACAAATGTTCTTTTCACAGACTATGGATACAATGGATATGGCATAATAATCATCTCCTGCCTAATAATTTTTTTTAGTTCTATGGATTTAAACGCGTAAACACTAAACATTTTTCGTAGTAATTGACATCTTATGGATTTTTTTTTACTACCGAACGTCTTACTATTGTTTTTTATTGTTAAACTTTAGACAAATTTTTCAACTAAATGTCAATAAATTGACAAAAAAAGCAACTAGGACTATAATCGCTAAAAAACCGTTTAACAACATTAACTTAAATTCACTTTTCAACAAATATAGCGATTCTACGTAACATATTTGTTAGATTGACCTTGATGTTATATATATATAAGAACAATGTATATTTATATATATATATATATATATATATATATATATAACGCGTCTGCCATATCCAGACAGACGCAAAAACTGAAAATTCAAAAACACGATGTCGGGTAAACCATAGACATCGCAAAAAAAATGTATATATGTATATATATATATCCATGCCACAGACTCACTTCCTTTGTTGCGTTTTGTTGCGCTGATGTTTTTGATTGCCGTTTAAAAACTTCACTTCTTATTTTTTAATATTTTTTTTTTCAGAAAAACCCGGAACCATTTTTCGTGCTTGCAAAGAATTTGTTGCCTACAGAGTTGATAGTAATTTAAAATTTCTGACGTCACTCAACATTTTATGTTTTGTATCACGTTTTAATTCAACGTTTACATGTCGTGAACGAATCACTTTCTCTACTTTTTTTTCCTTACAATTTTATTCCGGAAAATGTTTTCAACTGATTTTTTACCATTCTATCATTGAAATGACTTTTATTGTTGAATGTGCCAGTTGATGTGCATGTACGCTGATGTATGCGTTCATGTTACGTTACGTTCGTGCTGATATATTTACAACTGCTGCCAATCCAGCCTACCCCATGCCATCACTTCCTCAAACTTCTGCACGACAAAGGTCTTCTCATGAGGCACTACACGCAAGTTGGTTGCCTGTCTTATTTCTGTTGTTAAATTTTTTAGGTAAAAGCTTTTCTCCTATTTCATAAGAGAACGTCGTTATGAAGTCATCAAGACCACTTTCTTTCGTGGCAAAAGCTGCAACGGCTCAGCGTTTGGAGGCGCGGTTACCTACTTCGAACGCGGAAGCGTGAAATGCCTTTATTATCGCGCTTGCTTTTTGCATACGTTTGTCGATGTTTAAGTATTCTTCAGAGAGTTACAGTTAATATATGCACCAACAACTAAACTACTTACCTAATATATGATCATCGATTGATTATTTCACCGTAATCAATATCACCATCTTTTTTTTACTACCTTCGCCGTCATCACTATGGTCTCGTATTCGTCGTCGTTTTTTTTTATATCCGGTGGTTCACTATTTCTTTCCCGCATTCAGAACATCGACACATTGGAGAGACTGGCGGGTCTGCCGAACGAGGTGCTGGTCGAGGCGCACGGAACTTTCAACTCTGGCCACTGTCTCAAGTGCAGATCGAAATATGATTTCGACTGGATGAAAAGTAACCTTTCATTCAATTCCATCACTCAGTTTAATAAATCAATGAATATGTTTGGTTGAGTTGCCCGGTTTAAGAGAGATAGGACAGCTGGTTCATTTCCAATTTTTCAACTGTGGCGAGGAGAGTTGTAGAATAGAAACAATTGTATACTTAATTTTTTGTGGCAATTATTAAAATTTGTAGCCGGGTTTCAAAAATAATCATATTTCCCATCATTCAACTGATTTAATTTATCCCAACCGCAAAAGTATTTATTACAAAATATAACTATAATAAATTATGCTATAAATAAATGCTAAAAAATAAATTATACTAACAAAACTATAATAAATTTTCATTCATGACATTTCTGTCGTGAATTTGTTTTCAACGTCACACGCACGACTATCATCGCCCTGCAGATAAGATAATGTCTGACACTGTACCAAAGTGTATGAAGTCTGGGTGTAAAGGAGTTGTTAAGCCAGGTTGCTTTAATGTTCGAAGCCTGTTTATTCATTTCACACATTCTTCCGAAATTCTTATCTACTTATACTTTATACTTTACTGCAAATAAATGATGAAAAACATAATGAATAGCTATTCATTATGTTTTTCATCATTTATTTGCACATATATTGTTTTACAAATATTATATATAGTGTAGGGTTTCAAATTTGAATAATTCAGTTACTTAGAATTTGAATAAATTAATGATTTTATTGCAGATGTGGTATTGTTTGGCGAGAATCTTCCCATGAAGTTCTTCTCATTGTTGATACAGGTGGGTTTTGTATTTTTTTGCTTGTTATGTCGCATGTTTTATGTTATAAATTCAAGTTGTCCACATGCATGTATAAGTTGGTAATCTTCATATATTTGTTTTAAAGTGGCTTATGTTTCAGATTATATGAACATTTTATACACAAATTAAATAAATAGAGAATTGTTGGTCTTGGTTGCAATATTAGCAATCATTTTTCTTGTTTTGTTTATTGATGGTGCTTAGTTGGACAACATCGGTGGTTGGAAAATGTGATTCATTTGCTATCCACGAATTGTTGAATTGTCTTTGATGCAGTTTTTCAATAAATGACATAAATTGTATTTGAAAGGATTTCAGCAAATGTGATCTGCTGATTGTGCTGGGGACCAGTCTCAACGTCCAGCCGTTCGCTTCACTCGTTCACAAGTCATCCAACTTTTATTCTCTCTCGTTTTTTTACTTATTGTCAAACTTTCAAAACATTTATTAGTGATCATATATCAAGACATCAAGTTATTTTTTAGTTGTAAGGCACATACGCTGTTCATTTTTTACCTCAGTCCATAAGCCGGACGGGAACTTGAATGCTTGAAGAAATTAAAATCCAATTAGTTGAGAAAAAACGCGATGTGAACATGATTTGAAAGTTCTTTGAACATTAAGACTGACGAACGCTGATTCTTTATCAAACATATTATAATACATGACATGATAATACATTAAATAATAACTATTAACGATGAAAATTCTATGGTGAGTGAAAATGTGAAGTTGTACGTGGTGTTGGATGACTGACGACCGAACATGGAAGGGTTTGAGGTGGAATTATGCATGCGAGATGTATTTCGCACAAACATTAATAAAGATTGAGTGATAGCGAAGAACGTCACGTCATGATTGTAAGAAAAACGAGCTCTGAAAACATCATTTTTAAGGTTACGGAAAAAATAAACTGGTCAAAGAAACATTGAGATATAGATGGTTGGAACGGTGTGGATGTAAAGAGTTAGAGGATGAAATGTGCTGAATGGAAAGAAATATACTGTCCCGGTTCTCATTTCTTTGAACTCTCAATAAAACGCTTTGCAAAAGATTAAATATTTGTTTAGATTTGCTTGAACTAACTAAATTTTCATTAAATAATTAATTAAATTATTTGGACATATGACGGTCCATTTTATAGATTTTTGTTTTTTTCATTTCGGCACAATATACAGGGTTCCAAAGAAATCTCCGCGTCTTTATGTCAATCTTCAAAAGACATCAGTAAGTTGGCCATTCATTCATTTTATCGTTCTGTATTTTTTATGATCAAATTACATTTATTTAGTGACTGAAAGTATGGGCATGATGAAACGTACTGTAATAACCGCTGGAATGATCAAATTACGCTCAAATTATTTGTTTTTCTGTTTATTGTTATCTTTGCTGTATTTGTAATCTTAGGATCGTAAACCAGAGGAATGTAAAAAAAGAGATCGTAAAAATCTACCGTTCAGGCTAAATATAGGTCCTGCGTAGGTACAAAAGACTGCCAGGTTTCCAGCGAGGTTTGAAGCGAAGTCGTAAATGTGATTTATATGGTTACTTGGATTAGTTTAGTGTTTCTATGACTGTTGGCATTCAAATAAACGTTCAACAAAGTTTGCCTTTGAAGAAGATGTGTCCATCTATCGGAAATCTGGAACCTACGGAATAACGAACACTTGACGATCGTTGGAAGCTACAACACTGGTGTCGAAAATATAGAGGTCTTTGAAGTTATAACATTAGTGTTGGTAGTTACGAACGTCAAGGGTTACAACAATGCAGACTATAATTTTATTATTAATAACTTAGCGTTATTTTTACTAGCGTTTAAATAATTAATTTGTATTGAATTGTTACAAATGTCGCAAGTTTTCAAGTGAATGTTTGTGTAAGAAAATAAATGTTCATCCTGTAAGAAAATGAATATTCATCATATAAAATGTTAACCTTTCGCTTTTCAGCTTGCGAGAAAATACATTGATTAGTACTTATCAAAATAATGAAGAGTCATTAATAGAAAGGTCATGTGAACCTAACAAATTGTACACAGGGGAGCTCTTTCGCTTCATGGCTGATCGGTGGTGGGTCTGGCTTCAAATTTGATGATCCCGACAATGAAAGGTTCAATAAATATACACTTAACTAAACTATTATTTATATATATAGTCTTAATTTTATTGAAAATAAGTATTATTGTCCAATTTCATCGTGAAAATTTTTAATAAAATTGTTATTCAAGTTCATCATGCGTATAGGCCTTATTTCGATTTTTCACAAATCTTCAGTGCAGGTTTGGTTAATATAGTTTCTTTAAACAAAGCCAAGTTAGTTCTTCAGCAAAGTGAAAACACCAACTAAGGAACTCAATGAATTGAGCTATTTCCAAAAAATTCTATTAAGGAAAATTGAAGACAAACTTCAAAAAAATTAATGCACACAATTTGGTAGAATTCATACAATACTGTATAAAATATGGTCTTCCAATATATCGAAGAAAGATCTGCGTTGGAGTGGAAACTCTTGTTGCTTGTTTTTTTTCCTCGATCACGTCGGGGTCACCAATTTGTTGGGGTTGCGTTTGATGATGAGAACACCGAACCAGAAGAGCAGTGAGCGGGAGAAGAAAAGAATAGTATTCGTTTGGATAGGCTGGACACGTGTTTCGTCCCTATATATATATATGTGTGTATATTATATGTATTATATATATCTGTGTGTGTATATATGTGTGTGTGTGCATGTCTGTGTGTGTGGTGTGTGAGCGTGTGTGTTTTAAAAAGTTATATAAAGTTATATAAAACCATCTTAGTTGGCAATGTTGTAGTTTGAATTTTAAATACATATAAAATGCATCATTATTGTAATGATGGCATATATTTTTATGCAAAATTAATCAACTTTTAATGAATTGCATTAAATGTTCGTTTGCAAGGGATGTCTTCTGGAAGGGAACCTGCGACGACTGGTGCCAACTGATGGCAAAGAAACTCAACTGGGAGGTTACATCATACTTGCTTTTTCATTCTTCACTTTTTAATTGCTCAACTGAAGCTAAATATTTTTTCTATATGCTTTATTCTTTTTCGGATTCTGATAAACTGAGATTTGTGTTTTGAAATTTCCGTGCAACCGTCATGACTCCACACATTCGCATACAACACAAGCATTCGAACTAAAATGCCTCTGCAGACTAAATCTTACGGTGCGAAGCACTCTGAACCTTCACGTCGGTGACAACAATTTTAATTAATTGGAAATAAATGTTTCAACGGATGCCCTGCGATGCAAAAATCTGTCATGCTCTGCTGACTATCAATGTTGCCAATGCAATAATTTAGTAAATGATTTTTTTTAAACCAGTGTGAATTAAACGAACTGATTACGAACCAAACGACGAAAATTATAAAGTGAAAAATATTAGAACAGAATGGACCTGTTGCTGCAATTGAAATCTCCTTACAAACATTAAATATCTAAAATGTCTCTTACTCCTAACTGCAACGATATTGAGTGTCGGGCGACCTTACCATCCGTAACATTCATTGTTTGCATTTAATTGAAACCGCTGTCACTGATTGTTCATTTTCTTCAATCGGAATGATGACATTTTTTGTTATTTTAAGTTTTTGTTGGTTTTTTTTTCTTATCATCAAATAACAGGCGTTAATTAAACTGATTAACGCCAACAATTCTGTAAAATTCATACAATACTGTTTATAAATAATTATACATACATAACATCATGGATATATACATACATAATACATACATAACATCATATTATATATATCCATGCATAACATATATGTATTATATATAGGCTGAAAGGAGACCATAATTGATGCAATATTTGATAAAATTTACCGATGTTTTTTTCTCCACCATGAACGCAAACGATTTTCTTATTAATTTCAATAAATTTGGTAATAATTTATTACATTACTGTTAGAAATATTGAAAAGCTCAATCGTAAACAAACATTCAAAAGCTTAAAATTCGGTAGTTTTTATCAAATAATGCACACACACACGCACACACACACACACACACACACACATATATATAATCTGGTAAAAGGCCATAATTAATGCGGTAATTCTTAACCACACCTTTTTAACAGCACTATACCTAACCAAACTCTTGTCATTATTTATATTATTAAAATTAGAATATTTCGTATATATTTTGTACTTTTTATGATACGTTTGTTGATAAAACATATCATAAGATATTATTTTAACAATAAAACATAACACCAAAGCAATAAAACAACACCAAAGCAATTGGACCGAACAAAGAAACCACAGCATATAGTAAAGATGACAGTGAAATTAACAAAGTCAGTGATAACAATAAATGCCTATTGATGAAACATTTCGATGTTGTACTTAACTTTTCACTGTTGGATGCGTTTTGTCAGCAGTTGTCATTAACGCCTAATTGCAACTTTCTACCTTTTGACTTTTTATTTTAATTGCGAACGTTTTAGTCGTAAAAACGAAAAACTAAAGTGGAGGACAAAAATTAATGATTCAATAAACGAACGAACTGCAACAACTTGTTATGTGGAGCTAGAATTTATTTATTTGTTGGCAGAATTATGTGAATACGATTGATGATAAAACAGATGATTAATGTAAGAACACAATCTAAAAATAGTTGGCGTAAACTATCGAGTATGAAATTTAAGACAAAAATTGGTACGAAACTGAGGACATGTCAATGAAATCGAAAACAAAAAGTGAAAGCTGTCTTAAGAAGGCTAAAAGCGTACTTATGCTCCAATAAAATTAAATTCGAACAACTGTCGATTAAGTTAAATTAATTAAACAAATGATAAAACCAAATTATATTAGTCAACAAATTGGATAGTATAAATAAATACTCCTATGTACATAATAAATATTCACATTCAAAATTAATAGATTACGTTTATTCACAAATAAATTAAAATTAATTAAAAATCCGAATTAAAATGAACTTCTGCTGACGGATTGATTTTGTTAACGCGGGTGTTCCTAATTCCAACAGATTGATTACTTAATATTTTTAACATTCATCGCCGATAAGCTCTCCAGCACCACAGACCATCTGTAATCTGATTCACTGACGTGCAAGTATTTCTGGTCGTCAAAGAATTTCTTTGCCCCCTTTGTGTTTAATTAATAAATGGATAAATCGTTAAGATTGTAGTCATCATTATTATGTTAATTTTGAACATCGGAACTGCCGTAAGCCCATACAGACATAAAAATATACTCCATCGTCATCATCGTATGTTGCATCGTTACTAAATTAATTTCTTCATTACGAGTTTTGTCAAAAAAAAACTACAACAGCGAATCTTCCAAGCCAGAAACAAGTGCAAACAACTAAATCGTTCTCGAAGAAATTGCATCGATAGCGATGATAGGATAACTCCGTAACGTAACGTAACGTGACATAACCTAACGTAACGTGACATAACCTAACGTAACGTGACATAACCTAACGTAACGTAACGTAATTTTTTTATGGAATCGGCATCCGTAGCGTGGGTAGAAATTTTTTCCAAGGGACTTGATTTTTTTATGAACCGTTTCGCTTCATCCACATTTCTTCAACAATTTTCACATTAAAATCAGTATTTTTAGTATAAGTTGGCCAAATGGGCTCAAATAATTTAAAAAATTAAATTTATGCAAGGGTTTTGACAAATTTTATCTTAACAATAAGTAGGGGGGGGGTGCAGCCAAAAAGCCACAATTTTCTGTACGCCTCTGGTTCGTGTAGTTGCGTTGTTGGTCAAATTTATCTAATCAAGCGTTTTCGTGTAAAAAATGTTCTGTGCCACATATTTTATTTTGTATTCTTAAAAGCTCGCATAGAAAGTCGGTGTTGTCCTTTTCTGGTTAGCCATTCAACGCATTCTGCGAGAAAGTTCAACATTGACGAATCACTGTTGTAAGAAATGGGGAAAGCGTACGGCAGTGATGTCCAAAATCGTTCGAAATGTGACTACTTAAATTTTAATACTAGTCAACGTTGTAGACTCATACAGTTATTGCAAGTCAGCGATCAATCGTCTAATAAGAACTTTTATTCCAGTTCAATTAAATAGATCTAGGCTGGTGATGAGGGTCGATTGTTGCAACTCACCGTCTAGTCCAGCGTGCTGACGCTGCCTGCTGCAACTTTTTTAGTTTGAACTCATAGACAATCTGCTTGCATCTTTGCACTGATCATTTGAGCATGAACTTTATGATCTGATTGCATGGTCTCTTGCAAAATGTACGCACAGTTAACAAATTGCAAGCTTGAGGTTTATCAATTTGAAAATGGGAAAATATTTTTACAGGTATAATTTTATTGTTTTTAATTATTTATTGTTAACGGTTAGCTGTATAAGGTGCAACGCAATGCATTGAAATGAATTTCTGTCAGCAGGGCTTGGTGGCAGTGGAAGTGTTAATATAATAATTCCTTTTATGTATTTCTAAATAAGTAAAAGTATTACAAACTTAAATTTTACAATTATTTAAAACGCATATAAATGTATCTTTTTAGGACACTCTGAACATTTATTCTCGTCACGTGTCAGGGTCCGATCAACACTGCCGACATGTAAATTATATTCAAGTTGAATTGTTTTTTGCGATCGATTGATGATGACAACAAACACCAGTTGAAGCTTCAAATCACAGCACTAATGTCACAACGAATAAATAAATAAATAAATAGTTGATTCTAACTTGAAATTCGTGTTGTTTGAGGAGCAGTTTGGACATCCTGATCATGCACCTCTTCACGGCTGGCTTCGTCTCCGAACTCATCAGGTACATCCTTCAATATTAAAGTGGTGTTCACAGTCTCGACAGCTTCTCTTAAATATCTCATTAATTTGTTTTATTTTGTTTCGTTTACATTATTTACAGCTAAATTATGCTGCAAGCATCCTGCTAATTAAAGTGCATTGCAATAAATTAAATGCATGCCGGAGGTTTGAAATGTGATAACAATATTTTGCAGCATATACAAGTTCGTCAACATTGTTATCTTATATACGGCCATATTACATGAGCTACTACTTTGTTTCAACAACGAAGGGTCTATTGAGGTACATTCCTCCTACACACCGTCCCCATCTTCACAATCACGATTCAAAGTGGATTCGTAAGTTACTTTTTGAAGATGCCCTGTTCGTCGTACTCTTTGCAGTGCAGTTCCTTCGTGATCTGGACGGCCAGGTTGACGGCAGCTGAGGCTTTGATGGACGCGGGGATGCTGCTGAAGGAGGCGTCGGTGAGGCTGGTGGTGGCCAGGTACCGCGAGAGACACTCCGTCTGGGCGGGTGCAGTTCAATTGTTATCGAATGAATGGTTCGTGGACGAGTGCTGTTTGTTGTTTTTAGAAAAAGTTATATCTTAGAAATTATTACCGCACATATTAAATAGCCCAAAAATATGTATAGCATCAATTGGGCGGCGCGATGGTGTAATGGCTAAGGTGCCTGGCATTGTTGACGCAGTGTCCGGGTTCGAATGCAAAAAAAAGATCCCCGCCTATCACATGCAAAAGTGTGTGATGCGTTTATTCACGTGTATTTAGGCACCGCGTGTTTGTTGTGATAATGATAATGCGCCTCAGTCGCTTGCCATGGCGCTATATAAAATAACATTATTTAATTCATCATAAAATAACTTAACATATTATTTTATCAACTTTTTGAATTTGAATGAAAAAACCTGAACGAAAAATGTTGATTGATTATTTTGAGTTGAAGTTATTAAAGTTAGATCAAAATTAATTTTGAAAAATATTTAGTGTTAAAGATTACTGCTGTACTGAAAAAATTTAAGATTATTAAAGAGATTATTATAATTATAATATGATAATTTGAGAGCGTAACACAGCAAAAAATTGTCGACATATTGCTGATGATGTGTAAATGGAAATATAACTGTTGATACAACAAAAGAGGAACTTGAAAATGTTTGATTGCACGTGAGCACCTCGTCGCGGTACTTGCTTCCTTCATCCAACTTGCAACCTTTCAAAAGAGTTGGAATGAAGTGGGCCATGGCTGGAGAGAACACCTGGCGAATTTTTTTTAAACTTAACGTCATCATAGTAACATCAATTTAACCTTAACTTTAACTTCGTTAATTAATGCTGTTGTGTTAATCTTATATGATTGAGAACCAGCCTGGAAGTGAAGTGTTCTCAGAAGTTGAACTTCGAAGTTGATGACCTGGTCGAACGTATACAAGTTCTCCGTCAAGTAAGTCAGGTCCCTCACCTTCGCATCGTTGCGAACGAGTGGAGAATTTTACAACATGAAAACATCCAACGGTGAAAATTTGCAACATGCCAAGTGCAATGAAAATGACCTACATTAAAACTATTCTTAAGAAGTTAGTGAAAAAAACTAGAAAAATGAATGAATTGTAATATAAAAAGTGAATTAAAGACTAAAAAACAAACAAAACAAACAAAAATGGCAGTGGCTTAAGCAATTAAATTTTTGAGAGGATGGAAGAGGGCTAAAACAATTTAAAGTTGAAATTTCAATCAAGATTTCGTTAAATATAATTTAACCCTCAATTGAATTATTTGCTGTGGGAAGCTTCAGCGGTAAAGATTCTCTATACTACGCCTCTGACGACCAAACAAATAAACGATGAATTGAACAACGAATTGAAAGATGGCCTAGAGCAACTGACCTCTGGAGCACTCCTCTCTTCATACTTGCAGGCCACAAGAACGGCCACGATGCCCAGCAGTTGAAACTTGCTCAGCGGGATTGCCTCGCGCGCCACGTACCTGTCGATCATGCTCACACTCAGTTCCAATGTCTCAGGCAGCAGTTGCAAGTGGCTCTTAGACAATCATCGGTCGCAATTAATTATTCAAATTATATAGTTTATTTAGTTATGATAAGGAAGGGAAATGTCTCCTACAGCAACTTGTATGATCCAATCGACCAGGATGCTTCTGGACCTGGCGCTCAACTCCTCGTTGTCACTCAGGATGTTCTGCCTGAAGTTCTCTCTGCACTCCCACTCCTGTTCAGTGCAAGGTTCGTTCAACTTGCTTACTTTTGAAAATTTTGTCAACGTTATTGGAGTTAAATAAATTTGAAATTGAAATGGTTCCCACAATTTGATAATTATTATCATATTTTGATCGAAAATTTTTGTATTCAGTACTGAATAGCCGTTCAAAACACATTCGTCAAGCATTTTAAATGTGAAAAATAAATAAAAAGCAAAACAATGTTTGCACCGCCATTCAGGAACAACGCAAACAACCTGCAAGTAGAGGAATATGTCGTCAGCATATTCGTTGCAATAAAACAATTCATCATCATCATCATCATCGTCGTCGTTGTTGTTGTTGATTCGTGCCAAACATTTTCTGGCGTCGTTTTTATAGTTAGCATCCTGGTAGCTTTTGATGTATTTGCTGCAAATGACGTCATCATCCTGACAAGCGTCATCCTTACAATTCCTGCTCAACAGTTTGCTTGATGTGGATTCGGCGGTGCAAAGCATTGCGAACGTGATGGGAGACGGTGGAAGGTCTTCCACGGCGCTGTGTACTGCTTCCACTGCATGGCTGCCTGCTTTCGTTCGTGCCATGGTCGAGTTGGTGGGATTCAAAAAGTTAACAGTTAACTAATTGTATGTGGTGTTAGTTGAAGTTAGTTGAAGCATTCGAGCCACGATTAAAATTGTTAATCAAGGAAGAATGAATATTGGTTTAATTTTAAAATATTTGGTCCGCCTAGATGTGGAGCATTGAAGCAACATCATCCTTTTATAGACTAAATTTTAAGTAGAGTCAAATTTGACGAAAAGATTTAATTGGCCAGTCAGCGGCAGATATCGTTGGTGACCCTCATTTGTTTTATTTCTAACCGTTACAAGAAAAATATAGACGTAAATATACTAAAGGGAAACAGATTCCTTTGCCGAAGTATCAAATTAATTATAAGAATTCGAGTCAATCGTGCTTCATTGATTTTGATTTATTTAATTGATTTTGTTTGCAAAACTTATCAGCAGGCCAACACGGAGAAACTCTCAATCAAGTTAACTTTGGTGAACCACAAAAGCACCCATGCTCACATTTGAACGAGTTTCATTATGAGTTGAGTTAAAATCAACTCCAACCAAAATCGTTGAAAAGATTGACTTGAATTTTTTCACAAATTTATTTTTTCCGCATGCTTTTTAGTTCAAACTTTCAAAAGAAGGAATGAAACCTGCCAACTCACCTGCCAGCCCCTCACTGCCTTCAGCCTCTGCACGTTTTCTCTTCTTCGACAGTCGGTGGCCGTTCCAAGCAATCAAATCTGAAACGATGGAGACGCTTTCGTATAAGGTTCGTATAACAATTTCAAAGTTTGGGCTTTCAAATGCTATGTAGTTTTCAAGTTATTTAAATTTTTAATAATTTTGGTGAGACGAGTTCATCGTCGATTCTACAAGAAAAAAAAAATTCTAAAACATTTTTTAAAACTTATTAAAATTAACGCTAAACGTTCTGCAAAATTCACAAAAATAAAAATGAATCTCTATTAATTTTAATTATCTTATGAAAAACATCTGCATTTACCAGAAGTTGGTCCAGATAATATCGATGAAGAAGAAGATGATGATGATGAAGAAGAAGAAGATGATGATGATGAAGAAGACTTGTGGCGAAATGAACAAGATGTTTTGTCAACTTGGGCCAACTTCGACTTTTCATCCTGTTTCAAAACAATTTATTCACATCACGGAATGCATTCACAGAGGCACTTTTGTATTGACCAAACAACAATTTGAAAAAACATTCCAGGCCAACAAAAAACATACAACAACATTTACGCCTTCCAAAGTGTTAATTTTCTGTGGCAGTTCCGAATAGATGAAACTGTCATTCTAATTTTTTTATTTTAATTAAAGTAAGACAAAAATTAATTTAAAAATTGATTTAAATTCAAAGAACAGTGCTTAGACGGGCTTGGTTGGGATTTTCCTTGTCGGTGGTGATGGCTCTAGACATTTTTAAGGATAATCAGACTTAAAACTAAATAAATGAAATAACAAATTGATAAATGATTGGAAATGATAACAAGTATTGATTAACTGACAATAATTTTTAAAATATACAGAATAAGCTAATCTCGATAATGCACACCTTAGCACCATTATTGGAGCTTCTAAGCCGTTAAATTAGAACAAACAAACAAACAAATTCAAAGAAAAAAACGAAACTTATCCTGTTGTAAAAAGATTAAATGAGAGTAATAATAATAAAGATAACAGTCAAATACATATTAAACGTATCAACCCATAAGCATGGTTGAAGATTTGTTCTAAATAATGACATTCAAATTGTTGAACGAATTGACTAAAACAAATTATCTAAGAAAGTTAGCAATTGGCAAAAGTTTAAATGAGCATTATCTTCCAACTGATTAAACGCTTAATCTTTTGTTCATTTGTTGAAATGGAATGTCTAATATAATATAACATAACGAACAATACATACAATACTTTTTTTGCATTGTTTTTAAATATAGAGTTATTGAAATTCTATCTATCAATAGATCATTTCCATCTTAAATATTATTGACAAAGTTTACTGAAAACTCCAAACTAAATTGACTCAGAACAATGTGCCACATTCGTGGAGTTATAATAATTCGGATTGTTAGCTACAAGCCAAACTAATTCATTCAGGATTATTTTTCATGTCGATAAAAGGCGAACTCAACGATGGTAACCAGTTAAAAAGAAAAAACATGTTGAAAAACACATACAAAATTTAATAAGTATTTATTATAACATTGTTTTGAAGCTTACTCACCTTTGAAAGACGTAATCCAAAAGTTTGGTTGTTGTTACAGTTGTTGCCGCTGATGTTGTTTTGTGTTAAGTTATCAGTAACCAGAATTTTGAGTGGAGCCTTTTTCAGGGCAAATTTTGTGCGGTCGTTGGTCCCTTTTGTGACTGGTTTGTTTTTTGTGAGGTAAGATTTTGTCGGTGCAATTGTAGTCCTGTTAACGTTCCTCACATTTTTCGATTTGGTTTCATTGCTGACTTTTGGAGCAGCTATAAGATTGCTGATGTTGCTGTAAGGGAGATGTTTAAAATTTTGAACCTTTCTCCTATCATTCTTGTTGTTGGCGCAAACATTTTTATTCAAGTTGCACAGGGCAGTCCTCTTTTGAGCCGCTGTCTTTACAGCCTCTTTGTCTGCCATTCTTATGCAGTTGCTGGTGTTGTTCTGGCTGTTGTTGTTGTTGTTGTTGTTGTTATTGTTTTTTGTGTGGTTGGTGTTTTTTGTGTGGTTGTTGTTGGACGTGTTGTTTAACTGGCGTAAGGTGGCAGTGTGAGTTTTACTACGCAGATTGTATCTGCCATCATTTGCCACAATATTTGTGATGTTGTTGTTGCTGTTTTTGTTGTTGATGCTGTTGTTTCTAGCATTAACGAGATTAACGTTAAGATTAAAACATTTTTTAGTGTTATTATTTTGAATGTTTTGAACTTTCAACATTATAAGAATTGCAACTTTATTAAAATATAAATATAATTTATGAAATCAGTCAAATAAATAAATTAAATAAATTAGTTGCGGAAATATTTCCAATTAGGAAAACAACAGAATATAAGTAATTAACAGACAATGCATTTTTTTCGAACTCAGATGACAACACAAGTAGCACTCCTTCCAATTTTGTTTCATTAATCTTTGTATTCGCGTGCGCTTGCTTATATGATACTTGCAAACGTTATTAAGCATTTAATTTATTGCATTATGCAATTGGAATGGACATTTATTAATGAAAAAATTATATTGTTTTTGTTTAAACAATTTAACGTTTAAAAATTTACTCTACAAAAATAAAGTATGGTTGCGAACGAAAACTAAACTTGTTACAAAGTGAAAGAATTTGTCGACTTTCCGTGACTTTCGTTTGAATGAGAACTTATGTGGTGAAATGCGTGTTCCAGTGTTTTAATATAATAATTTTATCACATTTAATGCTGCCGAAAAATTTGTAAATTTCAGACTAGCGTAGATTTAAGCTTGATTCTTACTTAGACATCAGTTTGTGCATTCGCAACCATTGCTAGCATGCGGCATGTAGACTGACAATTTTGTTTCGAGTCACTCCGCTGAACTGTCGATAATTTCATCGGATTCCACTGTCTCACTGACATGTTCAACGAAATTATTCTCCTTTAAAAACCCTGCTACATGAATAAACGCGGAATCTATTGTTCGGTTTATTTGGAAGTTTACCTAGGCCTGTATAATAATAAATGTTTTTGTTATCGCTAGTTTTTGCATAAAGGTTAATTATATTGCTGTTCCTTTGGTAGTTTTCGATTTCAATTTTTTTAACTAGAATCCAAGTATCAAAGAGCTTACTAAAATTAAAATGTTGATAAAATATGTTCTCAAGAATTAAGTCTTTTAATTGGTTAGTAGAATCTGGATGTCAAAGAGACGCAGTGAACATGCACCTCAAAGTTTCTGAAAATTTTTTTTATAAAAATGTTAAATTCATTCAAAATGTTTTATCTACTCTTATGTTTTTTCGTCTTTAACACTAAAAATTGAAAATTCTTTTTTATCGTGGCACCCAAAACACTAGCAAATAACATTTTAAAAATTACATTAAAAACAATTTAAAAAAACGCTTACATTATTACTCTTCTTCTTCTTGCTCTTGACATTTCTTCTGCGTTTGATACTGTTGACTATTCTCTTGAGGCTGTTAGATCACTCATTTAATATTACCGATTCTTGTTTATCTTGGTTTTCTTCTTATCTCTGTAATCATTTTTATTCTGTTGTTCTTAATAAATCTATTTCTAACTCTTCAACTTTTACTTTTGGATTACCTTAGGGTTTTATCCTTGGCCCTCTTCTATTTGTACTCTATACTTCTGAACTATCTCGTGTTATTAATAATTTTTCTTTCACTAGTCCACTATATGCTGATAATTCTTATATTTATTTTTCTTTTCATCCATCTAATCTCGAAAGTGTTCTTTATAATCTATCTCTATGTCTTTCTTCAATTATCGCTTGGTCTGACTCTATATATCTTAAACTTAATCCTTCTAAGTTTGAATTAATTTGTTTTAATAAATCTAAACGCACAATCACTATTCCTCCTATTATCTTACTTGATTCTAAAACTCTTGATGTTTCTCACAAGTTTCGTAGTCTAGGCTTTATCTTTGATTCTAGCATGTCTCTTTCTTCTCAGATTAATAGTTTTGCTAGAAGTTCTTATTTTCATCTACGTAGAATAAAAAAAACTTTTGTCCTTTCTTGACGATCCTACTCTTCTTCTTCTTGTTTTTTCTTTAGTATTATCCAAAATTGATTATTGTAACTCGCTCTACTATGGTCTTTCTGATTCTAAACTCTATCCTTTAAGTAAAGCTTTTAACTCTGCTGCTCGTCCAGTTGCTCGTGCCCCTTTCTTTTCTCATATATCTGCATATCTTGTTCTCTTGCACTGGCTACCTCCCTTTTTTCTTAACTCGTGTTAAACACTGTTTTGCTAAATCTGCATTTGCTTTTTTTGGCCCTTTTTTTGTCTGGAACTCTCTACCTCCTTCTCTGACTATTGTTACCATCGATTACCAAGTTCAGTGCGGATTTCAAGATCCATCTGTGCAAAATTCGCCGGGAGCGCTGTTGAACATCGCGGAACTAACGCTTTATAAACTGATTGATTAATTAATTGATTGATTGATTATAAATTATAATGAACTCTAAATGAGAAAGATTTTTTCCAAACAAATAATAAATATGCATTGTAGGCAGATGTACCACCACATGTCTTTATGTTTAAAGTTAGATGTACCACCACGTGTCTTTATGTTAAAAGTTTACGGTTCTGATTTGAAGAAACGAATATTCTAGTAATAATCATTTGAACTTTTTATTAAATAGATAAATTTTTTAGCAAATTTTTTAAGTTGACAACAACAAAAAATTCTAATAAACGGTAATTGTGATAAAATTATCTGCAACGATAACTCAGAAGAATTATTTGATGATAAACCATAGTTAATTATAATTCATTCGCCAGTTCCAGTTCTGAATACGTTTCATAGATTTGAGAAGGCTATGGGAGCAAACCCAAACAGAAAATCGCTAGCACCTGCAGTTGGTTATGAAGATGGTTCTGCTCATCAACTCGGTGTCAGTTCCGACTAAACTGTTGCGTCCATACAGGTCAGTCATCACGTTGCAATTCATTGAGCCTGCTGATACCGGCCTTTGTGGAAAGAGAAGGTGTGGCTAGTTCTCACGAAACTTTTTCCACCTTAAACTAATTCAATTGTATGACGACAGGCACAGGTAGAGGATACTACTGGAAGTGTCTAGCCACTATCCAGCCCGTAGGCGGCCTTGCTTTTTTCTCCGGTGCTCCCACACTGGGAGCACCGGAGAAAAAAAAGATAATTTCTATGAACAGCTTAACACAGCTGTAAACGCGACGCCCTTTGAACACCAATTGTTTGTGCTGGGTGACTTCAACGCACAAGTGGATGTAGATCATGACATATGGCGTGGAGTACTGGGGCAAAATGGGCTTGGTAAGGTGAACTCAAACGAAATAAGGCTTTTTGAGTTCTGCGCAGTGCAAAAACTGGCTGTGACAAACACGGTCTTCCAATTGTCAAACAAGCTGAAGACTCTGGATGCACCCACGATCGGGACACTGGCATCTGATCGATTACGTCATCACATGACAAAGGGACCTAGGCAACGTTTGCCTCACCAGAGCTATTCAGGCGATAGCTGTGTGGTCTGATCATCGTCTTGTCAAAATGTCCATGTTCTTGACGGTCAAGCCAGTCAAGAGGCATCATAAGATGGTAAAATTTAACAGGTTGGATGTGGCTAAACTAGAGGACAAGTCAACTCAGGAGTTTTTCAGCCGCACATTATGCATCGAAATGGCTGACTTTAATTGGCCACATTTTCAAACTGTCGTACAAAAGGTTGCAAGAAATGTTTTCGGTCACCGCCGGGGTGGGCATAGGGGCTGGTTCGATGAACGAGATACGGAAGCTCGTAGATTACTGAATGTTGTGCACAAAACACATCTTGCTTGGATAAATGACAATAGCAATGATGCAAAGATGGTAGCCTACTTAAATGCACAAAGTATCTCGCAGAAGGAGCTGCGCAGCATGAAGGAGTCCTGGTGGGCAGCGAGGGCTGATGAATTACAGGTAGCCACTAACCGTGGTAATCTGAAGCTATTTTATAAAGGCCTTAAGATGGTATATGGTCCATATGGTTCACGTGACTTGGGAGGTATTACCAGTGCGTTCACGAGATGGTACGTCGTTGATAAAGGATGGCCCTAGTATCATGGCCCGCTGGGCAGAGCATTTCTGCAGGGTGCTAAATCAAAAGACTTT